TCAGGTGCCTACATCTGGACGTGCCCCAGGCTCTGACGTACGCTCCTGAATCTCCTTGTTATGACAGAATGGCAAATCTTTTTATAAAGGAAATCATTCATGGCCACATTGATCCTCCTCGTGGTTTCTGATCCTCAGCTGATGGGACGGGTGGCCCATGGAGGTCAACAAAGCCAACAAGATGTGCTAGCTGCGGGAGCTGGTCCTTTTGCATAAAAAAACAAACTCATCTAGGTTGCATGCTGATGTAAGCCCATCAGATGTCCCCTGCACCTGGAAGCTGCTGAACTTTCTCACCAGCCAGGAAGAAGCCCCATTGCAGCAGGGTCTGTTTCTGTGCCCTTGCTTTAGGTGAAAACTGATGGATGGATGGATGGATGGATGGATGGATTCTGCCCTGGGTTCCTCTGCTGTAGCAATGCTGTTGCATTTCATTCACATTGGATGGACGTGGGAGAAGCAATCCAGAAAAAACTGGCCCTTGCTGGAACCACTTAGACCTCATTTACTTGTTGGAGGCAGCTGTGAATGAAGCCTGCCCTCGAGGAACCTGGGGGACAGGCCTTGCTAGGGGAAAGTCACTGCCACACAACCCGCACCTTTCCCGAGTACCTCAAGCTCCTTGCACTGTTGTTCATCCACCTCTAAAACATAGATAGCCTATCTTCTCTCAGAGGTCCCACGAGGAGCAATTTGGGAACTGCAGCAGATGCTTTGAGAGGTGCTGGCTTGGAAGGAGTTACAGGCACTCAGTGAGTACAGATAACTGGACCCGGAGCACTCCTGGCCTTATTTACCTAGCGTGAGTCCCATGTAGCCTCCTGAACGTGGTCTCTGCAGCCCCTATGAGATGAAAGGGTAGATCCCAGGCAGAAGCTGGGCCTCGCATGGCTCAACATCCTGGGCTGGATGGGACAACCCTGCCTTGTCCTTCTATAGGCAGCACTCAGTGTATGGGAACCATCTCAGAAAGCCACTCCAGCCCTGGATGGACTTATACCTCATAGGCCCCAGCATTGGGAAACTACAGCTGTGGGACCCAGGTCAGCATCAGTGGGAAAATCTCATGGACTTCCATGGGCACTGAAGCCAACAGGCCTTATTTACCTGTCTTGTCTAAGGATGACCAAGAGGCAACACCGCTCTGGCCTCTCCAGGCCCTCACCCAGCCACAGGGAGCGACCGTGAAGAGCCACAGGATGGGAGCTCTCATCAGGCCCCTGGTTGTGCAAACCACGCGGTACCAGAGCCCCGCTTCCACCATGACACACCACGGCATCACGCAACAAATGTGCAATGCAGGACGAATCCACCCAAGTGACGCCCTTTGGCCTTCTCTCTCTTCTTCTGGGAGAGGTGTTGCCTAGTGATTGAAACACGGGATGGGGAGCCGGGAGACCTGGATTCTTTCATTTCCGCCCGGGTCCCACCTCCAGGTTTCTTCACCCCCTGTATCTCCGTCTCCTCATCTGCGAGATGGAGATAAGGATAATTACACACCCCATAGCAGAGCCACATGGACCCACTTATTCATCCTTCTGAAGTCCTTGGAGATGAAAGGCACTTTGCTGAGCACAGGATTATCATTACAGTACTAATAATTACAGTAATTAATACGCTGTTTGGTCACCAGCATCGGCCCTTGACCCCATTTTTTACATCAAATGCATGTACCCCATGTCTGCAAAAACAAAAGTAGCCAGAATAATCCCCAAAGTATAACAGCGAGGCTTGCTTCTCAAAAGTAAAAAGGAATTGAGCCATTCCTTGAATGGACACAAAAATTGCATGGGCTTCTTGTGGTTCAAGATGATCACCAAACAGTAGCCAACCCTGAACTGGGCCAAGTCAATGCTTCCCTCGAAGCTGCAGAGACTGTCCTGGGATCTGGGAGCTTTCTCCCCAGCCGTTATGGGCTCCTAGTCTCTGCCTCTCCACCTAGCTGTGGTTTTGCAAAGCACCAGCAGTGCAATTTCTGAGCCCCTGCCAAAACAGCCAAGGGTGCAGGTGCAGAACTCTCTCTTCCTTCCGGTCTGCAGGGACTGGGTCTCCTTATGTTGTAGGCAGGTTGCTTTTTTAATTTGATGCCTGCATTTATAACAAGTTCCCTCAATACCTAAGAAAACCCAGGAAATGAACCTGCTCCCTTCCCCTACCACCACCAGCGCCAGCTAGGAAACAAAAGCATGCCGCCCTGATGATGCAGGCTGATGTTAGTGAGAGATTTCAACAGATGGGACCAGAACCTAAAATAAACTTCCCACCCATGGGATTCTGATTCCTTCTCTTAGGGTGCATCGAAACACATCTGGAGTCCTGTGTCCAGCTGTGGGCCCCTACTACAGAAAGGATGTGGACAAGTTGGAGAGAGTCCAGCGGAGGGCAATGAAAATGGTTGTGCGGCTGGGGGACAGGACTGGTGAGGAGAGGCTGAGGGACCTGGGCTGATTTAATCTGCAAAGAGAAGACTGAGGGGGATTGAATAGCAGCCTTTAACTCCCTGCAGGGGGGTTGTGAAGAGGATGGAGCTGGACTGGTCTCAGTGGGGGCAGATGGCAGCACAAGGAGCAATGGGCTCAAGCTGCAGCAAGGGAAGTTGATGTTAGATATTAGGAAAAACTCTCTCACTAGGAGGGTAGTAAAGCACTGGAAAGATTATCTGGAGAGGTGGTGGAACCTCTATTCTTGGAGGTTTTTAAGGCCCAGCTTGATATCCCTTGGCAGGGATGATGTTGCTGGGGCTGGTCCTGCTTTGAGCAGGGGGTTGCACTGGATGCAACCTCCTAAGGTCCCTTCCAGTCTTCATTTTGGATGATTGCATGATTCTTTGAAGCATGTGAAGGGTATCGACATCTAAGGTACAGGAGGAATTATTTAGGGTGGTACAACTTGGAAATTTCCTAATGGGAAGACACCCTCAACTATGGAGCAGAGCCTACGGTGGTAGGTTGCATCTGCCTCAGGTATGTCGGCAATCTTAATTACCAAGTTATCAGAACATCTCACATCCTTTAATGCCTTTTTCTTCCCAACACCCCTGGGACATAGGATGGTGCAATGACACGCCTGGCAGATCGGGGATTGGAGAACAAACAAGCCAAGCTCAGATCCTCAATCTTATTTGGGTGCTGACAATTCACTGATGGAAGTCAGGCCTGTAAGGAGCTTTGAAGTCTGGAGCCATATGACTTGGCCAATGACATGCAGAGAGCCTGGGGTAGAAAAGGGATCTGAATCAGCATCTCATGAGTCCTTGCTACCATAATAAGAGGATGGGCCAACCCTCTGGAGCTCCCCCTACACCTACTGTTTTCTTGTAACCTGAATATCTTTGGTATGAATGGAGTCCCCTGAAATATTTAACGTTAGACTCCAAAAAGACCAGCAAATCCTGTAGAAAGAATAATCCTGTAGCAGCAGCAGGGCTGGCTAACCTGACTCCCATCTCTCATTCTCTCCTGCCTTTACCTCTGCTCCCTGAAGTCAGCAAAAAGCAAACCCCAGTGCAGAGACTGGACACATCGGGCAAGAAGGAGAGATCTCAGAGATGGAGCTGCCCCTGGGCATCCACGGACAAAGCTGGTCCTGCATGCACCCCTGGGACCCCTCTAGAGATCATTGCAATGAGAGATGCCCACTCAGCACCCAGGGAAACTTTTCCATAGGGAAGGTGAGAGCAGGCCTGCAATGCGGTCCTGCACAAATCCAAGGAGACACAGCAAGGGCTCGACGAGGAATTCCTCCTCCCTGGGGCTGCTTATCAAATGCGCTATAAAAAGGCAGCACCGTCCGATACGCAGGACAGGACTCAAAGAGCAAAGGGTGAAAGCCAGAGGCCTCGTTCTGCCTCGTGTTATCAATCGGGAATGACCCACGTGAGGTCCGCGGGGCAAGGCTTCTGGGGATCGGCCCCTTCGCTCCAGCCTGGCCAGGATAAAATGAATCCCAGGCACATTCCAACATATCCTGCAAGCCCAGGGAGGGTGTTTTGTTGTCTGGTTCTTTCTTTTCCCAGCACACATTGTTCTGATGCCACAAGCATGACTTGTATCGGCCACTCCTGACCCAGGGCAGCAGGCGACGGGGCCAGCAGGCCTGCTGGGTGTGGGACAGGGCTCCAGGATCGGCCGTGGTGACGGCTGACTCCTCTGCTGCTTTGGGACGAGATGCTTTCCCTTCTGGAGCGGGTGCCGCTTCGAAAGAGGGAAACACATGGAAGGCAGGCCAAGAGAAGTCTCGGAGGAATGTCGCTTTAACTGAAACCCTCTGCGCTCATCGACTTCAGCACGCGTTTAATGATTCATTTCCCAGCCAGCCAACTTGTACCTTTGTAATCTTTGCGAAGGTTAACTTGTTGATCCCAATAGCCAGCGTCGTTGCAAAGGGGGTGAGGGGGTGGGAAAGGGCTCGATTTTTGGTAAAAGTCAGGTTGTTGTTTTTTTCCTTGTGGCTGAAGGAGCAAATGGGAAACAGGGCAAAGAACAGAACGAGAGAGATTTGCAAAAGAAAGGGAAATGAGAAGCACTTGGGGTCTGCTTCCAACTTTTTTAAAGGCAGATTGGTAGAGGAATTCAAACATATTGGTCATTAAAAAATAGCCCCACACTGAATTGTCCCCTTAAGACGTAAAGCTTAACGTTGGTAGTAATCAAAATTATTTCCTGGAGCTGTTGGCAGTGCTGTTCCGTATCCAGCTCCCCGATGTGCTCTGAACTCGATGCGAATAAACCCCCCATTGAATAATCAGCATACACAATTAACTTTTCCAAACAGGAGATTTTACCACCTTCAACTCTCCTATGGAGTATGAGCTGTCATTTCTACCCAGGAGAACTTTTACAATCTTTTCTCCGATGCCTGAAGAAGGGTGTTTGTGCCCAAAAGCTTGCAAGTAAAGAATTTTTTTTTTTTTTGCAAAAATCTAGTTGATCTAATAACAGATATCGCCTTGACCATGAGTCCTGATGCTTGGTCCCTTCCTCTTGAAATCTAACTGATTACTGCTGGCTGCAGCTTTGATCATTATTATTTTAGATGACTTAAGACCTGAGAAGTCCCATTGGACTTGTTCATCTCAGTAAAGAGTTAAAATTCTCCTAGCCATTTTAGGTGGGGTCGTGCAAGAGAAAAGCAAAGAGGAAATCCAATTCTTCAAACTAAGAGTGAAAACAAACTGAAGGGAAATTAAAACCCCCAAACCCCTCCAAAAGGTGGGAAAAGAAACAAAAGCCCCTCCTCACAAATTGGTAGTCGCTACATGATGCTGCTATTGATAGATTGGATTTAATCGATAACTCCATCAATGCATACATTAATACTGCAATGATTAGTATAACATTAAAAAAAAACAGTTTCTGGTCGGGTAGATACAAAAAAGAAACTCAAATATAGTTTGCTATAACCCTCTCTGTTCTTAAAAGAGAATGCAGAGATCCGAAAAATTTCCAGAGACAAACAAGGCAACAAATGCTTTCCCCTGCAGTTACTCATATATTCCAATCAACTAACTCAATTCTTTAATAATTAGTGAATCCGGACTGTTCTGACGATTCAGTAGAACATAAAAAAACTAAGCATCGATATTTTATTTGGAGGAAGGAAATGAAAGGCAGATAATGCTAACTCGGCACAGATGTCCAACAAGTTATATAAAAAATAACTGAAAAATAATATGAGTTTAAAAAAAGAAATCCGGGCCCCATCCAAGCCCCTGGAATTTAATGGGAGTCTCCCTTTTTATTTCCACAAGCTCAGAATCAGGCCCTTTGTTTCTGCAGGAAACAGGCTTCAACTTTTAACTCCCAAAGTTTTCCTTCTGGGATCAAAATGTTTTCCACTTCTGACATTTAGTAGCATGGACCTGTGAGGTTTTGGGCAGAGCTGGAATAGAGAAAAAGAACGCTAATAAGTAATCTGAATTAAGGACTGCCTTTGATTTATTCACTTTTTCTGGCAAGGCCACCGTTTGTTATTAGAGACTTGAACCATCTCAGCATTTTTCTTATCAGGAATATATCTTCTGGGGTTACTGAGGTTTTTGACATTTTCTTTTAACCTCATCAAGTGGAAGTTGAGATACATGCTTAAAAAAAAAACAAAACAGCCAATTTTAGCACCACTTACTTGAATACGTGAGGAGCTTTGCACTCACCAGTCACATATTTCATATTTTCGAATGTAACAAATGGACAAGTTCAAAAATACATTTATGTATGTGTAAGCATGCATGCATTCATGTAGGTGCATATAGATGTATCTAGGTCTGTCTTTTAAGTATTTATGCATTTCTTATGTCTTTTAGGATACCTCTACACATTTTATAAATAGGAGAGCAGGCACAGAATAGGGAGGATGAAATCTGGGTTTGCATTTGAAGGTGTTGGAGTTTGTACTTCTCAAGCAGGGGTACATAATGCTCCCAGGGGTATGTGTTCATCTTCTAGAGCGTACGTGAGAGGAAGGCATAGGAAAGCAAAAGAAAGAAAAGGGATAAGCTAAAGGGAGAATAAAGAAAATCTTGAAGAGCAACTCTTCAATATTTCTTAGGTGGTCGGAAAGGTAACAGTGTGGCTGAAGGGACATGAAATATTACTTCTTTATTATCCGTCACATGAAAAATCTGAAGGGCACAGACAAATTAATTTAACTAGCCTCAAAAGAGATACCCCCCCACCCCCAAAAAAAAGGTTAAGAACCACTGTTGCAGATCAATAGCATACGGTCATTGCAAACTTCTCTCGCTGCATGTGAGCCACTACGTTTTTCTACAAGCTTGTCTCACACACATACACACATACATAATCACAGACTTTGGTCTGTAATTGGTTAAAAATTGATTGGGGGTGGAAAGGGAGGAGGATAATTATCTGCGACTGGCTGGATGCCTACTAGAATCTAGGTCTGAAGTTTATCCCCTTTTTTTTCATACCAAAGATCATGTACATAGGGCACAACATTGTGATGTTCGGTGGCACGGAGTGGGGAGCAATCAGAAGCCTTGCATATTAGTTTGTATATATAGATAATATTTATTACGCCAGATAGTAAGTGTTTGCAGGATCAGACAGGCAGACAGACAGACAGGAAAAAAAAGTGGCAACAATCCTCCTCCCACACTTATGCTGAGAAAATCATTTCTGACACAGAAGTTCTCACCGTCGCTCTCCTGGTAAGGGTGGGAAGGTGAATTTGTCAATAATGACAATTGCACAAGAATATGTCTATAATATCTCTGTTTCGCTCAGCATGATGATCCCGTCGCCAGATGTGAGCCAGCCCTGTTATGTGACCCAGTTCTGGGTACCTGGAGTCCTTAAGTAATGGCATTGAAAATATCCTTTGTGTGTTTCAATGGCACCAAGACTATCCTTTGGATTGAAAATAGCAATCCCAAACCTGCACGATCTCATTTTAAGTGCCCCCCACCTTGACATGTGAAAATATAGGGGCGCCTGTGTGTGTCTGGGTGTATTGCACGTGTGAAACCAGTAACACCGCTCCAGAGTTGCTTGTATTTGGGTGCCTGAGTGAATATCACCTCCAGTGTGGAAGTCAAGGGAGATTCTTAGCCACTGATCTATCTGTCCGTCCACCTTTCCCTCTGTCTAGCCATCCATCCCTTCTTCCAGCTGGAAGGGCAGCCTCTCCAGCGTGCACCCAGCAGCTGCGTCCCAGGGAACAGGGGGATGCTGGTTGGCATCTCACACTGTTGACAGGTTTCTGCAGGAAGGAGGACTTAAACCAGAAGCACTCTCCACCGTGGGCCCACGAATGGAAAAGTACCCGTGCCATCCCAATGCACATTCTTGGGCTCTGAGTGAGACGACGCAGGCTGCCTTCAGAGCTGGTTCAGTGCGGTCAGGTGTACCGAGGGCGGTATAAGAGCCAGGCCCCGGCATGCCAATCAAGTTTTTCCACTTCCAGCCCTTTCACCAGAGGTAAGGACCCAGCCAGATCACAAACATTCCAATTAAAGTTCAAAATAATAATGATAATGAACATAACAATAGCCCCCGCCTTCCTCACTGGAGCTAACAAGCATTTGGGTCTTCCTCCCTTGTTCTTCTCTAAGCCCAGCTGCCTCTTCTCCTGGCACCGAAGGGAAAATATTGTTCTGTATGCAAGGACCTGAAAAGAAAAAGCAGCAGCAATGGGGGGGCCATTTATTTAGCTCCTGGAAGCTGGTTGCAAGGTAAAGCTTCTGGGAGCAGGAAGGCTGCTTTGTGGCCTGCCCTTTGCAATAAAAAAAATACAGAGATTTCAAATATTTAAGAGACTCAAGTAAAACTAGCGTGGGATGAAAGCAGGGTGTTGAGGCTGCTTGCTCGGTGAAGTTCAATCATGACACGTCTGTTCGCTAAGGATCTCAGCTCCGGGCCATCACCTTTAGCCCTTTAAGAGTGCTAGCTTATAATCTACCTCCAACTTCTAGCCTCGGTGCAAAAAGAGGGACGAACTAGGAGGAACAGGCACGCATGCACAGACAGCAGGCAAATGCAAAGTGGTAAACTAAACTACTTTGTTATGATGATGCAAAAAAAAAAAAAAATGAAGTCGCGATCATGTGATTTTATGCAAATCGAGTGAATGGACGGTTAAAAACTAAATGTCAGGTAGATAAGATCACATACACCTAGAGCAGCGTCATGATATTCTCTGCACGTTACATTCATACTGGAAACCAAACCGTGTTACAGAAATCAGACACCCACAAAAGGGCTCAGAGATTGCACTGAAAACAGGTTTCTGCAAAGCACCAGCCTCTGACAAAAAAAAAAGTAGGTTAGATGAGAAAACAAGATAGCGCGAGCGAGCCAGGGAATACACTGTCCCTGAGCAGTGTGCAATCCCACCGTATTATATAAGTTTACATGCACAAAACTGCCTTGAAATAACATTTATGATCCAGCCCAAAGCTCTTAAAAAGGCAGGTGTTCCAGGGTTTGGCTGATAATCCATCTTGAACTGCTGGGAGCAAGGAGTCGTATAGGAAACGTCTTTTCTTAAAGGTGAATTTTCTGCCCTTGCCACTTAAAAAAAAAAAAAAGGTCCTGGGGGCTGTTTATTTCTGTATGTCTGTATTTATTATACATAAAGCCATTATTATGCACTAGCTGGCTGTCTAGGGAACGAGCAGCACTGACTTCCTGAAGGAGCTAATTACAACAACATAACAAATAGTCAGTTTTAAACAGAGGTTTATTTAAAACCGGTATTGCTCAGAAGATTACACACAGCTCTTTGGCTACCTAGACTTCGTCTGAGACCCGACCTGTAAGATTTTAAACCCCAGATGACGTAACCCAAAGGACTGAACAAGTCCGTAGAAAGAAAGGTTCGTTCTTGTCCTCGAACAGTATAGGACCAAGCCCCGTGGAGAACTGCAGAGGGCTAAAGAATGACATATAATCAGTCATGCTAAGAGCTCAGATGAGTACCCCCCACTTGCTACCTATGCTGGCAGAAATGCACCGCACATTTCGGGGGTTGGGGTTTTTTTTAGAAGAATCACTGAAATAACCAAATAACTTTTGTTTTTCGAAGAATAACTGAAAAATAACATTTTCTAAACTGCAGGAACATTTGTTTCAGGGGGGAGAACAGAATTCCCTGTGCTGACGGGGCTATTAGACTTCATGATCTCAATCTACGTTCAGGACCACGGGAGATGCAAAGGTCCCGACCTGCTGTCCTCTACACTTGCTTCAAACCTCGCTCTTATTGATCCAAGACATTGTGAAAGGAGCTGTGCCGGCCTGTCACATACACTGAATACTAGGATATGGCGCTGCAGAATTTGGGCTTCTGTGTCACACACAGATATGGAGAAGGATATAGCGAGGGCGGCTCTACATGGAGAGCAAAGGGAGGCGAGGTCTGACAGCCAGGGCCCAGACTGGGGAGCAGATGCACGTGCAAAGCAGGTCCACGTCCACTGCCTAGCTGCTTGCATTTTTCTACCCTGTCAACCCTCCCATTGCAAGGAGCACTTTCCTTTTAAAAATGAAGCCAGTTTCTGAGCTAAAAGGAGCAACGCAACCTATTCTACCGCAGCACAACTTTCTCGCCTTCTCGCAGGCTGCGACTAGAAACCCGGCCTGGGATTTTCATATTGCCTGCAGAGCCAGGGCATGGAAGGCCTTGTTTTACTCTGCAGTGCCTCCCCGGCCAACGTAGGCGTTGCAAGAATGGGCTCTGAAGGGAATTTCATGTTGCCCTTCCTATGCTGGATATTATAGTCCCTGTATATCCTCACGAGTCCCAGTTCAGTGTATGGAGAGGAAGCTCCAGTGGTGATGAACAGAGGTTTAGGTGCATAAGAACCACGTGTTCAAGGCATAGCAGCTGGGCGAGGGTGAAGTGAAAGCATGGAAAAGCACAGGATCGCATAGAGAGGAGGAAGATCATACAGGCACCCCAAGGGGGAAAAAAATAATGGATATAATCTACCCAGTGCTTCCAGGCTTGGCACCTGAACACCAGTTCCCAGCCCAAAGTGAATGCTCAGGGCTGATTTATAAGTCCCTGTAAACAGGGGGTTTATAATGGAAACTCTGATGCAACCCTAACATTTGGCAGTGTAAAGGCATACCAAGATCTCTGCTCTGCGAGGTGCCAATTTTAACAGCCGTCCTGATAAATCATCAATCGGACAAAAAAATCTTCTCCGCTTCCCAACTTTCTGCAAACATTGCCTTCAGCCGCTCAATTGATGCAGCCACCGTAGAAGACTCAGGCTGTCCAAAGGGGGGAGCAGGGAGGGGATCTTTAAAAAAATGAATTAATAAAGGCACGCTAAAAAAATAAAAGCTAGCTTGGCATTATACTTCTTGTATTATTTGTTACTGAGTCCGCTTATATGACACCAATAATTTTGCTAAAGTGGATAAACAAGCTTTCTATGTCCCCGAGAGCTTAGAGTCTAATAAGTAAAAGCTATGCTCACTCTGAATTATATATATTACTTTCCAGCTACAAAGGGAAATGTCTTTAAAGCTCGTCTGCATCATCTCAAGTATCATCTTAGCCTGATTCCTACTCCTTACTGGGCTATTTTTAATGACAGATGCGGGCTATCGGTTACAAGGCTTTCCTCCTATTTTGTTTTAAGACAGTGCTGAGTATTTCAGTCTGGGCACTTTGCTGAGAAATTTAAAAAAAAAAAAAAAAACAACCCTCAGGAAATGTTCAATAACTTTGCATTTAGGCTGCAGATTTCTTGGAATTCTTGGTAATTTAATCAGTCGCTCTAAGCAATTTGATTAGCCGGAGCTAGGGCACGGTGACCCCGCGGTGGTGATTCTTGTAAACTAATTTCTATTAATTGGAATAAACCTGAAATGCTATCGGAGGCACAAGCCTTCCCCCCCACCCCTATCCTCTCTGTCATGCAGAAGAGGAATTTGAAATCCTTTTACCCCCCGGCCATTCAGGCGGGGGGGAAAAATAATAATAATACATGCAAATTGAAACAGAAATCTGCTGAGATCTTTTAAAACACACCCACCCGAGCCAGGCCTGAGTGAATACGCGGCACAAGTAAATATGCAATTCATTTGCTTTTTTAACACAGATATTTACATAAATGGTCATTAGAATAACACTTTGTCACTCTCCCTCCCTCCTCCCCCTGCCACACACCCGCAAATCTATTTGTAAGACCGTCTTTACATTTTCCCTGCTGCCTGAAGCTTCCTCCAATGGCCAAAGCAGGCCTTTGCAGCTCCCTCCCAAGAGCTCTGAACTAAACATGGGCTCCAGCGACTCAAAATCAGAAGTCTCCTACTTACAAGGAAAATCAAACATCTATTTTGCATACAATCATAGATAAGACATACTGTACATCGCAGCTATGGCACGACAGACGCTTTACCATGTCCTTTGCAACCAGACAGCAGCTACAAAGAATTAACCCACCACTTAAAAAGAGTCCCGGAAAGGGAGAAAGAGCACAAAAAAAAAAAAAAAAAAAAAGAAAAAGAAAATATAATCCTCCGAGTGTGGGGGTTTGGTTTTTTTTCCAAGAGCAAGTATATTCCTCCCATTAAAAAGCAATGCCCAAAAAGGGGGGGGAAAAATAAACCGTATCTATCAAGAAAAAAACCCAAAACAGCTTCTTTCCTCCTCAACAACAAATCCCTTTAAGCATGAGAGCCAGCCAGAGATAGAAATACATACATTAAAAAAAAAAAAGATGATTGTGCAAAAAACCCCAAACAACCCGCCACCACGCACAAAAAAGAGACTCCAATGTCGCAGGATCCTGGGGTTTGGTTGTTGTTTTGTTTTAACCAAGAAACTTGCACACAAAAAATCAAAATCAAAATCAGATCAAACCAGGACTATGAGTCGAGTCTAATTCTGAACGGTTCTTTCCTCCCTTCTGCCTGCCTGCGATTTTATCTGCCTCTCTTCCTTCTGCATTTTTATTGGTATGTTGGTTGGTTCTTTTTGGTTTGTTGTTGGGTTTTTCCCCCCCCTTTCCTTTCTTTTCCTGCCTTAGGGGGGGAACAAAAAAAAGCAAAAAAACCCAGCCCAAGCCGCCCCGCTTTGCACGTCCTAAGCCTCTCTCCCTCGGTTATCTTAACGCGTGTGTTTGTGCCCTGCTCTGGTGTGTGGCGGTGTTTATGGGGCTTTCATGGAGACGCAACGCGCCCGGACCCCGATTTCTCTTATGTCACCGACTAGCAAATGAGTTCTCAGAATTCCAGGGGCAGAACCCTGCAACATTGTAGCGCGCCGACGTCACAGAAGGCAGGCGCCACGTGACGCCCGGGCACGGACCCGTCCATTGCGGCCGGGGGGGTGGCGGCGCCCCCGGGCCGGGGTAGCGCCGCGGGGAGACCC